TGTGTGGGGGGGGGGGGGGGGCGTACTCATGTTTTGCTTGGGGGCAGGGAGGCGTAGGAAGCCGAGCTCAAATGATTTCTGGTAACTTGTTTTCTTCGTTCGAGATATCCAGGCGGTTGTATCCTACCCCCCCGCCCCCCCCGGTGCCGGATGTACAACGCTCTGGCATACGGTACAGGTTATGGCAGGCTTCCAGCTGCTGCCCATAATAATTGCCTAATTGTCGATACGACCAGATAGGCCGCATGAAGTGCAGCGCTCTACCCTGCGGTCGCTTCGACAAATTTGACAACGGCCACCTTTTTCGCGGAACGGGGGAGAATCCTCGCTGCTTTCTTATCTCCCGACTACAAGAGAAACATGCGCTGTTTCGGTTTGCGCTTTTTGTTCACTTGAATGGAAGGGAGAAGCTGCGGTTAAAACGGGGATGGAGGTAGGGGATATAGGGTCGTGAGCTTCTACAGGCTGTCTGTGGGTTTTGCCCAACCGCACACGAAGGGAGGGTCAAGACAGATCCGTCATATGCATGCCAGCCACCTTGGTCTTGCCGCCAGAGTGAACGGGTGAAACGCAACATGATATCGAAATGATGTTGTATAGGACTTACTCTGGCTAAGAGCACGTGTTGCATACGAGTACTTGAAGGACTGTTTACTGCTGTCGTTTGGGGCACGATCACACACACGGCCAACCGGCCCTTCTCCCCTAGAGAATGAAAATCCGGCGGAGCGGATTTTCCCAGGCTCCAACCTTCTTTATAGGTGATAGCTCAACTGGCCGTTTCTTTTAGATTGGTTTTCGACATGGTTCAATTGTGACGGCGACTCGAGGAGCGACGTAGAGAGAGCGCCTAGGATAAAAGTCCGTCACGAACAAAAAAGCACGCGAGCCCTGAATTAATATGCTCTTCCTTCCTATCCTCGGCAGTTCGTGAACAAGCCGCGCACCTGCTCATTCCCCCTCAGCTTTATCACCAGCGCCGCGGCCGCGGCCGCCGCCGCTCCCTCCTCCGCCTTGCCCAGCCACCCCGCTGCATCCCACGCCGACCTTTCGGGGGCCGGCTCGACCGACTCCACCTCGGCCAGGGGGTGGCGACGGGCGGTACCCCCCCTCGACTTCTTCTTCGCGGGGCCCCCTTCTGCTATGCCGCCGCCTTTCGAGACCCCCGCCTCCTCCTCTTCGTCGTCCAGCTCTTCTAGCGTAGACAGATCTCGTGTTACTCGGAGGCGCACAGGCCGCCGCCGCGGCGCCCGCGCTGCTGCCAGAAGCAGGCCGAAGGCCTGCTGCTGCCTCGTCCGGACCAGCGTGGCGCCTCCCAGCAGCAGCGGGACGTGGTGCTCCACGAAGTGGTTCTGTTGTCATGGGGGGATCAATTTGTCGTGGGGGCGTCCGCACAGAAGGGATTGGATTGTTTCTCGGGGGGGGTGGGGGAGGTTAGGGCCAACGTGGGTCGGCACAAACAACGATGGCACGAGCATCACCATCCACACCACCAGCGACAACAAATCACGTTCCAACACAAGTACCACCAACAGCGTATCCACGAAAAACGCCACTGCCGAGGAGGCTTGACACGACTCCATGGCCGACACCTACCCCGGCCAACAGAAGCAACTGCAATAACAATCAGCACCAGTCTTAGGGACCGGGGGGGGAAGGGTGTGCTCATGGAAACGCATGCCGTAGTCCATTGGCCTCGCATCCCTACAACGCCGGGACGGAGCTACATACCGGGTTTTCGCCGGCCCAGGGTACCCTTTTTTCACAAGAATAAACCAATGGTTGGTCATCGTCCTTCCGTTTGCTGTGCCAAAACCGATACGCCGGGGTCGACCTCTTGCAACGCAGAAGACCCCCCCTGCAACGCGACGTCGGGCAAGCCAGCGACGAAGACTGTCGCGGAAGCACCAAAACCAAACGCAGCAAAGGGCTTACGTACCTCTGCCGCAGCTTCTCGGGCGCAACCGTCGCACAGGCGGACCGCCTTCGGCTCCCCGTACAGGAGAAGCCTGTCGCTCTGGCTGGAACAACGCTGGCTAGTAGATGTCGTAAAAAAAAAAGAACAAGAATGGGAACGGGAACGTTGAAGGAAGATGAGGATGTCACGCACAACGGAAGAGGCGGAAAACAAACGTAGAGCTGGGGGGGGGGGAGTTCTGTATCCAACGGGTTGGTGCCTTGAGGCGTGTTTGTGCTTTCTTGCTTAGCATCGACCGCGGTAGCCTGCGGACCAACGATATTACGTCAGTCTCAGTGCGGTTGTAAGCAGAAATGCCTCCAAAGGCCATGCGTGTGTGTTTGACTTGGTATCGACCGCGCTAGCCGGCTGACCAAGGAAAATAGGTCAGCCTTACAGCGAAACGCAAACACGCTTTCTCGTCGAAGGGTTTTTACAGACAGCGGGGGCGCAGGAATCGGACAACATCATGTCCTCCTTCTGAATTACAAGGAGAAGCATCAAGAACGCCAGGCAGCATCGTTGCTGCATCATCTCGTCCTCTCATCCTTGTGTTATCGCCCTTTACTGAGTTGTTGTCCGTCCGACTTGGCTTTCCGCTATCATAGGTGGATTGCTACTGCTTGTTTCATCACGGTCATCCCTACAACTCTTCTTTGAGCCCTCTCTTCCCATGGATGCTCTTAAGATATATTTACGTCGTGGAGAAGTCGAGTTTTTGACAATCGGTGACATGCTGTGTCACCTACGGTACAGGAGGCACCCCCATGTGAAAAAATCCTTGGTCGAAGGTTCATCTCATATTATCTGCTTACGGAGTTGCCGAAGAAAAAAAAACGTCGTTGAAAAGGATCCATTACTAATCTATCTTAGACTCTACAGATAGATGGGCTCGTTGGGTCATACTGCCAAAATATAAAAAAGACTTTCAGATTGCGTCCAGCGCACGCTCCGCAGCAACATCGACATTGCAATGCGTTACCACCTCTCTCTTTGCGGAACACGTTCCTGGCGCGCGCGTTGGTCCAGTTGGAGCACCGATGGTGCAGTCAGATGCGAAACGTGCACACCTGACGGCCACATTCGGTGAATCGGACAAGACCAACACGTGTGCCGGATACGTGCCGTGCACAGAAGCGATACAGCCTTGTTATGGCCTCCGGCCATGCCGCGAAGCGTGCTCAGGCTCAAACCCAGCGCCCGTGCCCCTGATGGTTCTCAGCTCTGCGGGGATGTGGGGCGACTCCGAACCTAGGCATCGGGGCTTGTGGGACACAGCACGCGCCCGTTAAGAACCAGTGCTATTTAATTAAATACGTTTTGGCACACGCCCGTGCCATACGACTTTGCCAAGAGCAATGGTTGATACAACATTACACTTTTTTTTTCTACACAATTTGTACATACTTGGAAGGACAACGGGGAAAAAGAGGTTTCGGACAGAATACTTCCTTCCATAAACAAATAAATAAATTCTTGTCTCCCGGTTTGGACCCTGTGACCTAAACCTGACCCGAATACAACCGGTGGGTAGACGTCAATGCATCGTGCATAGGCGCCAGGAGGGCGTGCACTGGATCTTGCCAGAGGTGGGGACACAGCGGGGGGAAAACACGAATCCACCCACGCTGGTTGAAGTTCGAACTTCTTTTTGCACCCGTTTCGAAGGTTTTGGAGCGGGTACGAAACGGATACAGACTTGATGTCATGGTTCTCAAAACGCGTCCTAAATATGCATATCACCTGAGAAAGCACGATACAAGGAAGCATTGATCACATACGCGGTGCCACAACAGATGGTGGTACACCTGCAAAGCACACATGCACATGCCCCCATTTATGCACACACAACCCAAAGCGGCGCAACTTTCTCTTCAAAAAGCGGGACAAGTGTAGGGCCACATGCGGTGTGGTACAGCAGTATCCCTTCTGCCAGGGATCCTTCTTACCCTCCCCAGCCGGGGTCCACGTAAGTAAAACCGAGCTGACTCTCCTCTTTCTTTCGGTCTCTCCCTGGACCTCTCAGGCTCTCACCAGTAGATGTTGCGACAACGACGGCAGTGATGCCGTCTGACGAGCACATCGAAAGTCACCGAGCAACCGTAACACTCCTGCTGTTCAGCGTCCTCCATGACTCTCGGCTGCCGTTGATGGACGAACCTTCCCGGCACACCAGCACCCACAGCGGCCATAGCGTTTGCGGCGTTGGTTGAAGCACCAGCAGCGGCGGGTGGCGTGCTGGTGCTGGTGTGTGCGAGGTCGTAGCAGGGCTCATCATCATCCGGTCTTGGCCTGCAAAAGGCGAGCGCATTCCCTAGCGCTTGCCCCATGATGATCGCAACAGCTCTTCCACAAAACAACACCGCCGCTTGCTGTGGGGATTTACGACTGCAGGCAAGGGTCCTGCGGAACACGATGCAATCGTCTGGCTGCGTGTGGCACACGCACCTGCCGCCTACTGTGTTCTCGAGTGTCCGCGTAAAAGGCGAGCCCCAGCAGGGTGTGTGGGGGGCTGGGTGCAACGATGCACATGAAAATGATAGGAGGCGTGCCGGGGCGGTTCAACCTATACCGGTTGGTGGGCTTTTGTCATCGTGCTGCAATGCGACAGCAGCACACAGCGTTCGCGCCTCATACGCCTCTGCTGCTTCTTTTGAACGGAGTCGGCTTTCAGCTAAAATATATGCACGTGTGGGAGTATCGAAACCGGCGGCACAGGGGGCTTACGCGGAAGCCCCCACGGCCACAGGCTTACGCTTCCTCCTTTCTGTCGCGCGAGAGCCAGCAGCACGAGGCAGAGTGAGTCACCATGTGACCGCCGCACACAGCTGTGAAGGATATGTAGCTGTACCCCGGTAGCGCCTTGATGTTTTCTTTCTCTTGTGCCCATTCATCTACGTGATCGCAATGCGGAACAAGTCCCCGCGCGTGCACGCCACGGCACGGAGCGACTGATGTTTCACGATGTCGTGTAGGCATGCACGCGTACTTCGGCCGGCCACCCGCAAGATATGAATTGCGGCGGATTCGGGATCATACAGAGCACTCTATTATTCGGAACGCAACCGTACTACGTACGAGTGAAAAGCTTGGTGTTTATGCACACGCCTCTCGATGTAAGCGACCCCTGTTGACAGTCTCCTGAGGCCCGGAAAGGTGTCAGCCAATATTGTCAGCAGCCTTTTTCGCACCTTGGCATGCGGAGCGCCAGAGGTCATGGACCGCAGCCCGCAATATAATTGCAGAAGCTCGTTGCATTCAAAAACATACAGAGTAGTATACGAGCACAACACGAGTTCTTTGCCGGACAACCAGACAAAGCTCTCCGCAGCAAGAACTGGAAACTCTGTTGGCGAGACACTCGTCAAATCGTAGACAGGCCTAATCGAAAATTACAAAAGGGTGCCACGCTTGTACTAGGAAGGTTTATTTGTACGTTCAAGCTCTAATGTCTTCTATGAGATCCTAACCACCGCAGCATTAAATGCCGAGAAACTTCACACACGCGCATGTTCTGTTCATGGGTAGACTCCGGGATGAGGAGATTCGGCGCCAGGAGCTGGAGAACACCGAGGTGGAAATCAAGCAGGAGGAGATAAGGAAACTTCTAATGGAGTATATGGTGAGCACTACTGTACCTTGTAGTGAGAACAATCGAGACCCACCTTCGACGACCTCGGACAGAATGATTCTCTGTGGTGCATACCGTGTTGCGAAAGTGCATTCTTGCAGTGTGCACCACAGAAACCGCAAACTACGTATGTTCCCAAAACTATTATCAGTTCTCAGAGGTTGTCATTGTCGGAGCAAAACAGCGTGAGCGGAAGAACGACAGGCATCTGTTTGTGCCAGCCGTCGAGAGCCGTCCATGTTCTCCGGCCAACGACGAGGAGCTTGTTATTCCCTCAGAGCAGCTTCCAAACCTTCGAGCTGCTGCTTCTCTCCTCCGCGAAATCTAACATCTCTTCAGGAAAAAATACATACAACGAAAGAAAGAATTTTGCTGGGAAGACGCGAAACCTTGTAGCCGCGTTGAGGTGCTCGAATCGAAATTGAGCAGATTGTCAGGCAAAAGGAGAGATTAGACGAGCCCCACTTTCGTCGTGCTCGCCTATGGATCCACTTTGGTACGTAACCCTCAAAAATCGCTCCAGAATGATCCCGGGGGAAAGAAGGAGCTTGACGAGGTGGTGGAAAACCTGAGGCACTGGAAGGACAACTGCAGTGCCCTCGGATATGCCTCCGACGGAGAGGAGCTGTCGCTGACATCCCCCCGCTCGTCGGCAACAGCAGATGGAATAGACGGCGTCGCGGAAACAACTATGGAGGTGATACAGAGGTGTTGCTTTGTTATCGATTTTCCCAGGTCAGCGGGAGAACGAGTGTTGGGGACCATGATAGTTTGTCTCCTGTTTCAGTTCCATATTATCCTAAGGCAGTATCCGCCGACACCGATTCTGATCGTGGATATACAGTAGTTCGCCTTTGTTTTTTCAAGCTTGACCAGGGTACTCTCTGTACTCCAAGCTCTTCCGCCTCATACATGCTGGTTTCGAGTTTTTCGGCCCCAAGGTGTTGGGTTCGACGGCTTGGTCGAACAGGTTTGGTCGGGTTTTCCGGGGCACAGGTAGCTCAGCCTTCCGCCAGCGAACCACAAAACAACCGGACAGAGCTCGAAAGAACTTGTCGGGGCACAGTTTGAGACCAAGGGCGTGGCAGAATACTTGCTGAGCACATCAGTTCCCCCTCGCATACATTGTCGTGGACAGCAAGACCGCGTCGATGCCCCTCACGGTGAATGGAGGGCGGTTCTGGGTGATCCAGGATCACGGTTTAGTTTGGTCCGGACACATCGGTAGCCCTTGACAAGACAATCCCTGCTTTCAGGGGCGGGGGATACGAGGCCAACGAAACGAGCAGAGAGAAGGAGAGCTTACACCACAACCAACACGCAATACATTGAAACACTTTGCTAAAAAAAACAGCGGAAGATGCAGGAGCGTGCGGAGAGATCGCGCAGGAAAAATGCCCGGGAGGTTTTCGACATGTTCGACGCTGACGGCAGCCGCACCATCTCCACCTCCGAGATGAAGGTGACGCGATGATGACCCGAGCGTTTGTCCTGCTGGTTCTCGTGGTAACGTGCGTCTTATGACGAATCCCTTTGTGCAGATCCTTGGGGGTCAACGGAGCCATTATTCCCCTATATCATTGCGTCTTTCTGGTTGAGGAATCGACTACATACTTGGGCTATTGAGTCTTGACCGCCTAACACTCAACCGTTATGGTCTGTTTCTCCTAGCGTGCTCGCAACGATTCCGATACGTAAGGTATCTCCCTCTCGCCCCTGCTGTATCCCGTATGGGTCGATACGGTGTTGACGAGAGAAGCGTCACGATGCGATGGCCACAAAACGGGTATGCTGAGCACCTAGTGGACACCGAAATGTGAGCAGGCTCGGAACCCACACGCGGTTGTAGGGTTATCGGTTTACATACACGCCGCATCCAAGCCCCCAACGGGGAGTCGCGAAAAAGCAGCACTTTCTGCCCATGTGAGAACATCATCCACTTCCTTCATTGAACTTCCCTCGCCGTCCCCCCGTCGTTACCCCCCTGCGCCTCTTGTTGTGAAAAGGCGCTGTTGCAGGAGATGTGCATCCCCATGAAGAAACCCCAGCTCAAGGAGCTGATGAAGGAAGTCGACACCGATGGGAGCGGAGAGATCGATTTTGACGAGGTATGACGTTCGTTGCCGTAAGGCAGGGAAACGTTAGGATCGTCTCCAGCTGGCAACATGGAGAAATATAAAAAATCAACCTTTTGGACCTTGGTTCATCGGCATGAGGTTAGGCGAGGCGGAGGAACAGTATCGGGATGAATCGAGAATGACCGGGACGTTCGGGACTCACTGGCGCTGACGTTTGTTGGTTTGGATGGCGCCCTTACGAGATCAACAGCCCGAAGTTTTGCGTTTATAGGTTTGGTTCGGCAACGGCCGTATGCACCTTGTAGTTGCGCACCCCCTACAACCTGGTATCAGCGCGTACGTATTCGAAATCCCACAGTATGTGGTGGCGGTGACCGAGGCAGGCATATGAGACGGGATCAAACGTATGCGGAGGGAGATGCAGTAGGTAACAATTTTGGGCAAATGAATGAATCCGATATGTAGGGTCCATGACCGGGTGCACTTGCCTCTGCTAGTACCGTTACCTGTCTTTTGGAGGGTTTTCGTCACCAAAGGTCTCATGCCTAAGGCACACAACAAGCGCGTACCCCTCAACTATTTCCTACCCATTCAATCAAGCGTGATCCCCGTCTCTGTATATCCCATACCACGTTGAATTGTTCCAAGACTCGTGCCATCTTTGGAGATCGACGCGATAAGGCAAATGGGTGTCTGCGGACTACTACGGCGCTGGCTGGGCATGACGTGACAGCTTTCATTTTCTCCTCTCCTCTCCCCAGAGCAGCAGAATCAATAGCAGGGCTGACTCCTAGTTGAAGACTACGACGCCACTCATGAATGATGGTTTGTAGCCCCGTACGCACCCCGACGACGCTATTAACAGTTCTACCAGTGGTACAAGGCCAACGCTTCCGCCGCGAGGAACGCCGACAAGACTAAGACGGTCGGGCTGTTCGCGACCAAGCTGGTTAAGGGCCTCACGGGATTCACGTTTCGCATGGAGGCTCTGCGCATCATCATCGCGCACGCGCAGGCACAGGTACCCACAAGATTCGGCGTTCGGCGTTCGTGTAGACCCGCAGAATGCACCTTTGGATGGAGCGTATGGGTGCGCTGGCAAGTGCTGAGGTTGTGGTTGGTCACACTTTCCGAAGACCCCAGTGCTTTGCGTGCGTGCGTCTTGAGAACGTTGTCGCGCGTGTTCGCTACCTGCGCGTGACCATCGAAAATAGCCGCCGCTCACCAGGCCAGAGAGGCGCATGGGTTGCGAGGTTCGCTTGTGTATGTGCGTAGTACAACGTCGGATGGGGTGGTTTGGTTGTCCACAGGGTGAAGCAAATTCGGAGCAATCGTCGCCATTTCGGTTGTGTTGGGAGCCGTTTCTGAACGTGTTGTTGGGGATTCATGGGCGTGGGCGATTCCGCACGATTGACAAAACCATATCCTCTAAACCGTTTTCCCAGCGAAATCAACAAGCGGCGGCATCTGCTGCGAATACCCTACCACTCTGCTTCCGTGCTTCGTGCAATCAAGCCGCTTGGTTGCTTTATTGACGAGTGTGTCGGAGGACCAGAGTCCCTGTCATGCACGACGCGGGGTAACCGTCCTCTTCGCCACCTTGCACGGCTATCCTCCTCGTGCCAAATATCTTTATTGGCCTCATCCTTCCCTTCTTCAGGTGGAGAAACGGGAGCGAGAGCGGTTTCGCCTCGCGCGGCCACCCCGGTTCGTCTGCGAGACGTGCGGCGAGTCGTTTGCCTCCGCCAAGGAGCAGCACGGGCACACGGCCCGGAGGGAGGTGCACCACGAGGCCTGGGAGGCGGCAAAGCGAGAGGCCATCCGGCGGTTTCATCCGGTTCGTATGGGTCGTTGTCGTTGCTGTCGTTGTCGTCGTCATCGTCGTCGTCGTTGTAGCTGAGATAGTTCGTGACTGCATGGAAGTTTCACCCGAACACGCAGCGTTCGTATCCTAGCCTTGCTTCGGTCAGGAATAAATGAAAACTCCCGTTCATGCCTGCGTTCCGTGTCTGTTCTTGCGCTCTCTCCCTCCTTTATCCGCCACACCCCTTTCCTTCCTATTGTTACCCCACAACTCCTCACCTCTGCCCGGGGGTGCATGTTTTACGGGTACCTTGTTTCGCAATGCCCCACATAGGTATCTGTGATCCTAGACCACACGGCAGCGCCGCCGGCAGAGGGAGCACCCGCGGATGAGCCGCACAGATCCCCGGACGCACCGACGGCCCGAAAGAAGGTGCCTTCCTGGTAGTGACCTCAGATACCATATACATGTTGCTTGAAAGCACCCACGGGTGGTAAATCCGCCAGAATGTAAGTTCGAAGAAACACGTCTTGCAACACCACGAGACGCGACGGCTCTCTTACGGGATTTCCAGGGCCCATTGAGCGTTGCTATCACGCACCGGTGGACCACACCATGGGTTCTATGGAATCTCGAGGTGCCACGTGCATCATCACCAAACCGTGGTGAGCGGATCCCGTGGTCATTCTGATAATTCAGGACTTTGCATCATTCTGGGCCGCGGCGGGCGAATCCAACGACAAAGCTCGACATCTGCACAAATAGATCGGCCTCGACACAACTCCAACTTCATGTCAACTCAAAGTCTTCAACCAAATCCGGCGTTTCAACACTGTATTGTCCCGTCATTTACTGCAGAACATTATCTTGTTGCATGGAGCTGTAGGTAGTTCTTGACGTCGGCGGCGGGGCCGGTTGCTGGCCAGAGATGATTTCATTCTGAAACTGCAGAAAATTTTGGCAAAACAGCCTTCTTGCCAATTCACTCTCAAGTGAGCGTAATTGGGTCGCGATTTATGTTCGCTTCTTCGCGGTTACCGATTCAACATTTTTGAAGCAACTCGTTGCCGTTTGTGCGCCCTGTCCGGTCTACTTTGGTTCACTCATTTTTCAATGTATCAGAGAACCTCCACCGACTGCGATGGGTGTTGTTCGCAACATCGATGGATGTACACGAACGAGCAAAGTATGCCCTTGCGCTTCTCACAGCCCCCATAGTTTCAGCCTTGCGGCTATAAAACACTTTCTGCTGTTCCCGCGAACTGTGCTATGTTGTGTCGCGCCTTCCTTTCCAACGTGCTTCTCCTTATCGTGCTTGCCCCCCCGTCGGGTTTTGATGCGTCAAAATCACCATGCAGCGGCTACGGCGTTTGGTGTTTAGTGACAACTTCTACATCCTCTACGGCGGGGTCGGTTGGGGGGGGATGGGGAGCGGTGACGTGGAGAGGGTGGAGGAGAAAAGGTGGATCAACAAGCCGCACCCGAGGCTGGCGGACCCCGATGATAGGAGGGGTGCACAGCTCCGGCGAGGACAGGTAAACTGTTGATGTATGTCTTGAATATTTGTTTATTCTCTTCGGAAGCAGATACTTAGAGGCGAGTGCCACAGCGAAGGGGGCAAGCAGCGACAGAACCCGCCCAGGCGGTGGAGGAGGTTGAAGGTGTGAAGGTAAAGCTCCACCGAGTACAGCGAACACGGAGTTCAAGAAGTTCCAATCGCTCAAGAACGGCATCATTCCAAAGCCCCAACATCAGGACAGTGTTTGTTTCAGGCTTCGAGAACAGGGTGACAAAGAATCGGATTGTCTGTTGCTTGGGAACGAAGGTGGGAGAAGATACATATGATGCGTGCACCTCGAACGATATATCTCGACGTTAAGAATGATGATATCTCTCAACGTTAAGAATGATGGACAGCAACAAATTGGTTCTGTTTTGGTTTTCGTGAGACTTTTTGAAGTTCCGGCACGGTTTCCATCAGACCGAGGCTTGGCCAGACCCAAGGGCAAGCACAATATGTTTTTCTCCATCAACGTTTCCTCAAGGGAGCCTCGGAACTCTACGGACCGCTGTAGATGAAATCCCGTAAAGCATTGCTTGTAACAACTTCCGCCCCCGCCCAACATTATTTTCATATTTTTTCACAGCTCGAAGTGAGTCCGCCTCCATGGGGTCATGTGATTCTGCCCACTCGGCAGAAAGCGAGGGCAACCCAACACCCTAAGAACATAAAACGCCCACCCTCACAGGGAGCCTAACACATGTACATCTGAGCTCGCCTGGTCCACAGGTTGAAACGCGAATTTAGGAGGGCATGATTCGTAGATCGCCTGATTTCCCTAGTCTCCACCCCCTGTATCCGATTGCTGGCGTCTGTTCAAGGGATCCCCTTTTCTGGTGTGCTCGAGAGCTCACAGTTTGGTACAGTACTGTAGCACACGAATTAGCACCACCCTGTTTCTAATCATTTAACACCGTACACTCTCGAACCAATCCTACCCGCTGAACCGCGAAGAAACCCGTCTTCTCCTAGCGCGAACATCTTTATCTGACCATGCTAAAGCACTCGGAAAGAGCTGTTCGAGTTGGAGCAGAACTCCGTTCTGGTCTGTTCGATCGCAACAGGCACGGTCACGGTACGATTACCATGACCAACCAATAAGTCCTCATGATGGACCCTCCCCCTGAAAAAACTGTTTCAAATTGCTTTCCTCATGGTGCGCTCAACTCAACAACCAGTCGGTGGAAGGCATCAACCCCTCCGATTTGAGAGCGAAGGTTCCCCTAGAAGTTACGGGAGGGGGCTTCGCGCCGGACTGGGGGGGAGTTTGTAGAAGGCGAGGGGTGAACAAGGTGGCAGGGAGAGGCAGCTCGGGGCTTCAGCACATTCTCCTTCGGTTAATGCAAGTGAGTGAGCAAGTTGGGCGCAATGATTAGAAGAGATGCCGGCGGGGGGGGCGGGGGGCGGGGGGTACTCATAGTCGTGCATGCCGTTTTCGTTAGACCATTGACTTCGCATCCCTACAAAGCCGGGACGGAGCACGCCGGGTTCTCACCGGACCAGGCTCTCACATCACCAAGCGCGAAGCGCCGTGAGGTATTCGGCGGGGGTGGAGTTATTGCGTACCTGAATGGAGCTCTTGGTATGCTCGAACGGCAAACAAAGTGGCTTGCAGCAATCCGCAATCTTTGTCCACGATTTAATTAGCATGTGTTGCATAATGCACGAAAAAAAACACAATAAAACAACCGTACCCGGTGCCGTCTCTCCGTGTCCTTCGGCAATTGTTGTGAGTGCGCTTTTCACGGATGGCTCCCTCCTCAAAAGAGACAAAGGAGCCACAAATATATTACCGACGACAACGTGGTTTCCGCCGTAGCTACCCAACGAGAGGCTTCCTGTCATGTAGGCCACGTAAATTGAACCGGTCTCACGCATGCCTATCAATTCACAGAGGAAGCCGCGGCTCACACTAGCCGAGAGTCAAAGTGCTTGGTTGCTAAGAGAAGCTGAGAATGAGGGCGCCACCCCGGCCAGCACTTGAGATGCACTGCACTAACCAAGAGACTACCCGTATGCCACAAGGCGCTTTGCCTTCGGTTCTCTGCGATTCATGTCGTCGGCTTTAGCTCCGGCCTTCCTTGTGGGGATGCGAGACCAATACCGTAGCTTGCGTCATTGCGCATGCGTAACCTCCGTCCTACTCCTTCCCTCTCTCGGTGGGTATTCTATGCACTTCCAGGAGAAAGCGAGGGCCTCCAACGTCTTTACGGCCGACGACGCTCTTGCAAGGGCTAAGGTTACGTTCCGATGGGAGGGATGGTCATCACAACAGGTACTACGGTAGATCCACGAGGCAGAACTGCATTGCGTCGGGTCGTCTTCGCCTCGCTTCGTCAGAACCGCTGACGGCAGCATCAACCAAGCATCAACATCGACGACGAAAGTATCAAAGCCCAAAATTAGGAAACAAGATTACGAAATCATCCAATACCCACAACGGTAGAAACTCGTCATCACTACGTGAACATCCATACTTTGACTGACGACCACCTTCACCCCCGTAGTCTCATCTGAACCCTTTGAGCGAATGTGTCGAAAACTTGATTTGTCCCGAATCTAAGCATCAAAGTATGCGAGACCGGTTGTAGCTGTTGACCGACGTTGGGCCTACCCCCCTACCCAAAAAAAACCAAGTCTGGCACTAACGCACCCTTGCCGTACCCTCACAGGTAACGCTTCATGCGGAGTTCAACTGCTTCAAGGAGGAGGGGATGGGCGAGGACCAGACAAAGGGTCGGATCGGCCACGAGGCGTGTCACTACCTGTCTCCGGGGACGTACAAGTACTACTTCATGGTGGATGACCGCCGGACGGTGGACGTGTCCCTCCCCGTCGTTGGGGGCGGCAACGGCAACGGTAAGCCTAGCGGCAAGGTCCGAAAGGGCGGCTACGGCGAAAAGGGTATCGAGGGCGAGCAGCTGTTCAACGTTGTCACCGTCACGAACCAGCACCTGGGGGAGGAGGGGGAGCACGCTTTGGTCAGCTTGCAGCAGAGGCGGCGGTGTCAGTCACAGCAAGACAAATGCCTCCTTGCATCCCCCACATCAGGACCCCCTATTTTTGCCCGCCATAATGGAGGAGAAAGCCACGAGGGAGATGCAGAAGAAAGCGTGTCATCGCGCCTACCGGTTGGAACAGAGGCGACGCAGTCGGCACTGGCCACGGGGGTACCGCTGACGGAGTCGAAAATCGAGTCTGCCGACGAGGCGGACCAGCAAGCCCCCCTGAAGCGAATAAACCTCTCGCGTCAACAGATCTGCGACGACGGAGCGGTGTCGCTCGCCCTAGCACTTCGCCAAAACGTCCGTGTCGAGGCGAGTGACAGCAAGGATACTGGATGAGCTAATACAACGAGACAGGTTGTACCGGCAAGTTTGTCACCTCTCCATCCATCTCCTTCCCCGAAGCCCCTAATGTGACACGAAGCCGTCGCACCTCTAAGCACCCCTAGGGGATGCAGCTGGGTCTGAGCCACCACCAATAGGAACAAAAGATGGAGGCTTAGTCTACCGACCCTAATTACAACAGAGATGAGGTATTACTCTCCCCCGCCCCTCCCGGCAACGAAAAAATAAACAAGCCTCATAATCCGTTGGCTGGCGCAACTTCACAAACGTCCCTGCCCCAGCAGGAGTTGGACTTGAGCTTCAACCGAATATCTGGTGCGGGCATTGCCGCGCTTGCTGCCTCCCTCGGGGACCCAAGGTGTCGACTCTCGTGGCTGAGCCTCTCCCAGAACGGCATCGGCCGCCGTGGCGGCGAACATCTCGGGAAGATGCTTGCGGGAGGCAGTGAAGACGACGGGGGGGCTCAGTGGGGTCAGGTAGGGTGTGTGTGTGTGTGACAGTGAGGGTGAGGTGGGGAAGCGCACATGACCCGACGTATGTGGGAGAGGCCGAAGGTCAGCGTGGTGAGGGAGGGGGGGCACCCTAGAAATTTGGTGGTGGTGGGCGGCAGTATTACAGAGTGGGCAAGTAGCGTCAGAACGGTGCGGGTTGGGGACAGATTTCCTGATCGAACGAGGGTAGGGGACAACAAGAGCTGATGGATCAACCGGTCAATCTATTGGGCGCACCGGGTTCATCTAGCGGAGTTGACAGATGCATGAATGGACCCATGCACCAAACAGGTGCCCTGCTTACGGGAGCTGGTTTTAGCTGACAACATGCTGGGAGACGACGGTGCCGAAGACCTCGCCGAGGGCTTGAAGGGTCACCCCTGCCTTGAAACGCTGGTACGACCTGCGGTTGCTTTGGCTGCTGTGCTCATCCGTCCTAGCAGAATCTTGCGAGGGGAAACATCACAACCGTCCACCTCTGTAGGCGCTTGTGTTCCGGCCGACGTTATTGAATGCTCCTCTACTGTAAGGAAAATGACTTCATCCCTTGAGTCCCGTCTCGGGTGGGTACAGATGGTTGTCAGTATTTCGATCTTCAAAGAGCTTGGTTATTCGCGTGAATGAATTTCTCCCCCTGTCGTGTGTGACAACAGATCTTGGATGGTAACGACATCGGCCACGACGGGACGCAGGGCCTGTGCGAAGCCCTGCTGCAGAACCACTCCATTTTGAAGCTCAGCCTCCGGAGGAACTTGCTGTTGGCCGACTCCGCGGAGGTGAGGAAACGCTTGAGAGTTACCTCATCGGTGACCGTTGCGGTGGAAATTGTCACAATCGGATCAAATGAAGGCATGTTGTATCGCCCATGTAGATCGAGTCGACGCTGCAACTGCTGTCTCATCCCGTCACGGCTTCTAGGCGGGAAGCAAACAATGTTTTTCAGATATCAGCACCATGTCCATGAAACCCCCTTCACCACCCACCACCTCTCCTAAAATGCACTTTCCTCGCCAAAAAGATAAGCGCGGCAACTATCACCTCTCCCAATGTGTACATTTCTCACCAAACAAGCATAGCACCAAATCTGTGAGCCAATGAAGCATCCAATAACATGCCGGTGTGGCCCGATCCCCGCCTGTCGTTTCAACAAAAAACAAACCGGAAAGAGACTAGCCCAGCTGCTTCTACGCAACGGCGCTATCGAGACGCTGGACCTCGCCTACAACCCGATCGGGCCGGAGGGGCTGAGGCGGCTGAGCGGGTTCTTGTGGAAGAACACGAGCCTCGAAACGCTTGGCCTCCGCGGGTGCGAGGTCGAGCCGACCGGGGTCAAGTCCGGCATCTACACTCTCGCGCAGTGAGTGTGGGCGGCGGAGTTCTTTGCGCTCTCAAGAAGAAGGGAATGGGTGTCTTCATGTACGTGGGGGGATTCGGTGCACGCCAAACACCCTTGTGGTTGCATTCGTTCGCTTGCAAGAATGAATGTGCATTGTCGGTGCGCTTGCTGCGCCCATTCTTTGTTCTTCTGTACTGAACATGTGTTGGCTTATGTCGACGAATGAATGCAGTGAACCGACACCCACCCTTGATGTCCTTTCATGCTTTGCAATTGTCATTTGTTGTGTGGTGGGCTCATGTCATGCGACACCCTCCTTTACGCACCCCCCGCCCGGTGATGTTGCGCCGCAACGCGCTTTTCGCCGGGAAAAAGGGGATTGTGCACCAATCGTGCGCTGACGTCGTTAGATCTTGCCGCCAACGAGCTGGATGAGTACGCGGGGCAAGAGCTCGCGCACTCGCTGGTCAAGAATAAGACGCTCACCGACATCGACCTAACCGGCAACAACGTTCCGGACGAGTGGCTGCGTGAGCACCACAAGGCAAGCGACAACAAAGAACCACGGGGGATAGTGGGGGGTAGAGGGGAGGGCCTATTGGCAGAGGAAACGGATGCTCGCCGTGCAGCCCTGGCGGTGGATTTATTCTGAGGATGGGCAAGCATGCTTTGTTGAACACAGCACCAGCGACAGCCAGGGAGCACAACCGAGACGTTATTAGCACAGACGCCGCCACCTCTACACAACCAGCATGTCGTTCCACTGATCAGCCGGTTAGCAGGGAGATATTACTTACAAAGACACACACATCCCCCATGATGTCCCCTTACGGGGGTCTCAGATCTTGACCTCTAAAACATTTTGTGTTTTCAACCGCATTGAGACTGGCGTATTTTCATTGGTCAGCCGGTCGACGGATGCTAAAAATAAACAACGCACACACAACGCAGATTTGCAGCGAGGTGTACGACATCCTGCCGTCCCTGGCGGAGAGTCTCCGCCTCAACCGCGCCAGACGGACCGACCTCATCACCACCATCGGCCGGAGGGCGTCCCCGCGCACGATTCACCTGGAGAGGACCCGAGCGAAGGAGGCCCGCGCGTCCGAGCGGCGGCGGCGGCTGGAGAAGAGGAGAAGGAGACGGGAGGCCGTCGAGCGCGCCAGCAGTAGGCGCCGGCACCGGCGGCAGCAGCAGCAACAACAACAGCAGCAGGGTAGGAACGTGGTGGAGAAGGCGGAAGAGCAGGAGCAGGAAGAGGTGGGAGGAGTCTCCGGGGGAACCGACAAGGAGGCGAGAAGGGTGCACGAGGAGAAAGCGGGCGGAAGCGACGAGTGGCGGGAGAAGCCTTCGGGTGGTTTGTCGGGGGAGGGGGAGGGCTTGGTGTCCGGACGAAAAAACAGGAGAGAGAAAGAGTCGAACGCTTGTGAGGCGCCACCGATCTCAGCCAATACGGCCGGGAGGGTGCCGGGAGCAGGGACTGAGGGCGATAGTGTCGAAGAAGCCATGAAGACGAAACCGTCAGTCCCAACTACCGCGGACGAGCCGACGCCAGTCCGAGGTAAGCGCCGGCGGCGAGACCAAGGCACCGGTGTCCATGCCGAACAGTCAACCGCCGTGGCAACATCGGGGGTCAGCAGCCCGGTGTCAGGGGGAGGCAAGGCAAGGGTCGACAGTAGTCCACCTCGAAGGTTGCGACGGCAAAGGGAGCGCCCCACGCGGCCAGCATCGCCGTCGGCGTTGTCGACCCGAGGGAGGGGGGCAGGAGAGGGACGGGGGCACGACCGAAAGTCGGGGGGAGCAACAGGTGAGGGCAAGGGCTCAGAAAGGAAGCCCGGTGCGAAGAGCACCACCGCTGCTACCGCCGTCAACACTGCCGCTGCTACCGTGGATGCAGCAGAAGAGGAGGCGATGGAAGGAGCCGCCGGGAGCGACGGCATACGGCGTGTCCCCGGGGTTTGGACGCGACGAGGCGTGTGGGCGCCGGCGAACAAGCTCGCGGAGGACCGGGCTCGGGTGGAAGGGAGGAGAATAGGGGACCGGCAGAGGCAGCTACGGGAGGACGAGGTAAGGAGTGGTCTGCGTTCTGCCCCGTTGGAACTGAAAGTGGCATTCTGTCCAGCAGTTAAATCCTAGGGCGAGATTTACGTCCTATTCCCGGAAGTTTGTTAAGATAAGACAGCCGAGTTCTCTCGGTTTACGTGGCGGTTTTCCCCATGTGTTGTTGTGCCGGTCGCATGGCTTTTCTAGGTATCGTCCAACGTTGAATGCCTTCGTATTCCCCTCCCCCGTGTGTATCTAGACAGACCTTCGTTGTGCCCCCCCCGCCCACGTAGGTACAGGCCAGATCGGGGGAGGCGGCGAGGCACACAGTTACTGCGAGGGGGGTTTGACCCCTCACCCAACCATGCAGTCTCCTCTTGCTTGCTATCCCGTCTCCGATTCGGTGACGACCCACGGTGACGGCCAACGGGCCTTTCTCCCTGGGTTGTTCAGGTCCAGCATAGAGAGCTCTCCCGCGGCGCATGTAGAAATATCACAAACTCTCAGGCTGGGGTTGAAGTGCCCAACTCTAGAAATAAAATCACCGACCATGCCGGCTGCAACGTCGAGCGTCAGCTGCAAGGGTGTTTTGGTGGCCCCACCATGCTTCAGAAACAGTAGTGCCCTTGGTGTGCCCCTTAACTTTGGTGTCCATAAGGCGGGGACGACTGTACGTCAATTGTGAGGCCGTGGCAAAGCCGAAAAGGACACATCTACTGCAGAGGTCGGCATGGGACGAGGCGTGGGAGTATGTCAGTCCCGCTCCCAAGGACACAACATTCGGAGACGCAAAAATACACCACCACGTCCCGAACAAGATCGTATGAGAAGAGGCAAGACCAACTGGATAGGATCAAACCTTGCCCTGCAACATTCTCTGCAACACTCTCTGTTCCCCCGGAACACGATTTTGCTTGCCACCTGGCGACGGCCTGACGAAATCAGGCCGTGCACGAGGCCGGTGCGGCAAAGCGCGAGGAGGTACTGGAGTACCTCAGCACGACGGACGGAGAAGCGCTTGTGGCGAGGGTAGCAGCCGTGCTCGTTCATGCTCAGCGCGAAGAGGTGATACTGTTATCGAAGAGCCCAAAAGCAACAACCATATGTTGTACAAAGACGAGGTCAGTAGGACGCGCTAAGCTACGACTCCCGCCTCTGTGCTGATTATTGGGATGTTAGCTGGAGAGTTCTTCCCTGTTGAGCTTCTGAAACAACACAAGGGTAGCGGCGGACCGGTGGAAGCGAAACGGAGCGGGAGGAAAGCCGCTCCTTTGGCCTGCTTCGGACATGCAGCGCCTGTAAAGTGCCAACAATAGCTCCGTTGACAATTTCAATCGACACTTGTGCAGGACCGTGCGACCAAGCGTGAGCGAAAGGAGGAGCTGCAAGCTCTCACGCTCCACAGAAAGAGGAAGGCTTTGATGACGAAGCGGCGCCACAGCGATGGGCCCGGGGGGTTGTTGACATTGACAGCGACCAGAACGCTTCCCTCGTGGCTGGCGGGCTGGACGGGCAACGCGAAATCGCTTAGATACTCGGGAGAGTCACCAGCAGGGCCGGTGCCGAAGATGACGGCGACCGAAGCAACGGCAGGAAATGCCATGCCCGCCTTGACAGCTGCTGCAACAGGTACAAAGCGTTCGTTCAAACAACTTTGGCAGCGGGGCGGGGGGGGGGGGGGGGGGGGGTGGGA